GGGTTTAATATTTTTCCTAGAACTTTTTTTTTTTTTTTTTTTTTTTTTTTTTTTTGAAAAAAAAGAGAATTTCAAAAAAAAAAAAAAAAAAAAAAAAAGCATCTAGAGACACACACAGAAAAATCTCAGGCTCAGTTTTACTCACGAAATAGGAGTTTTGGTAAGTTTCTATAATGGAACGCAGGCAAATTTCATTCTCTTCCTGCTCCTACTCCTGCCTGCAGTTACAGAGCTGTAAATCCCACTGACTTTAATAACACAGGACCCGGCCAAGCCACAACCAGGTGTGCCCAGTAAGGGCTAAGACGAGCTTTGCATGGTCAGCCTGGCCTCCAGCTGCTCTTCTTGGCTTGCTGCTGCCACCACCGGCAAGTCAGGCTGGGCTGGGCTTTGTATGTGTCAGCACCACGGCACGCTGTCATCTTCTGCTAGGGAAGACAGCTAAATAGCCTGATATTGAGTTGATAACCGTGTAGTGGCGAAACTTGATTTAGAGGCGTAAGACCATGGAGCCAATAGACGACGCTAGTTACTCCTTCCAAACAGCACAGCAAAAATCTTTTGTTCTGATATTGAGCTTTTCATAACCGTGTTTTTAGCAATGCTACAAACTGCAGTTAAGTGGTTTTTGCTCGTGTCTGTGGCACTAATCTCAGTCTTTGTCCCGCTCCAGTTAATAGGCTGCATTATTGGCAGACAAGGCAGTAAGATAAATGAAATCAGGCAGATGTCAGGAGCGCAGATCAAGATTGCTAATGCCACAGAAGGCTCCGCAGAACGACAAGTTACAATCACAGGATCCCCTGCAAACATCAGCTTAGCACAGTACCTCATTAATGCAAGGTAAGTTTGCTTTGTAAGTGATAATGCTTCTGCAAGAATGCTCTGTCTGCTCTCCAGCAAATGTCTGTCCTGGATAGATCCACAAAGTTGCTTCGCAGTGTCCATTTTGCATAGTATTATTCAATTCCTAATGATTTGCAAAGCCTGTATCATTAGAAGCTGTGTTTGCTGTTGGTTTATATGGAAAGGAGCTTAATCTGGTGCAATTCCAGGTACATGTTGAATGACAAAAGCTAAAAAAAATGAAGACTCACAATAGCATCCTCCTAAAATATAGGCGGATAAATTAAATGAAATGACAATCATAAATTTGTTAGAAGAAAATACTTTCACAGACCCATTTTACTGTCCTAAATGGCAAATATAGTGAAACAAATTGCAAACCAGATTTAATTTCCTAGCTGCAAATTGTCACTGAGAGTTGATATTAAACTGACATTTGGTTGCTAAAGAGGCACGGGATTTATTTTTTTAGAGACAGCATGACAAATGTTTAAAAAGCATTCCCTGATGAGATGGGGTGAGGCTGTCTGCCTCTCCACTTCCAAATTAATGAAAGCTCTGGCTGTTTAGCTAAGCCATTGTGATGGCTTAAGCCTCTATCAGTTTTTATATGATTATTTAGAGAAATATTAACGTTGATACCACCTTTATTTGCAATTATCCTGAGAAGAAAGTGCAGTGGATATAGTGCTGTCTCATGGATCTACTTGTAAATGGTGGATCGAGTCAATATATTGTGGGGAGGGGGCGTATCTCTATGTTTCATTGCCTTTTTTTTTTTTTTCCTTTTCTTTTTTCCCCCCAAAATACTGTGATATGAATCAAGCTTTGTGTTTAACTATGTTTGCTGTTAAGGTAGTAGAAAGTATGAGATTTGTATGGGGGGTGGGGGGGCAGGGGCTGTAGTCGTAGCAGGTCTACAGTCTCCTCGGGTCCAGCCTCCTCTCCAGTCCAGTCCTGCAGTGCACCACTGCGAGTCACTGCAGATGCCTTAATGGAGGAAAAGGATGTTTGTGCAGCTCTGTGTTACAGCAAACAAAAATATTGCTTTTTTATAATTCAGTTTGAAAGTAGTTTCCTAGGGAAAGATATATGTATCTGAGGGGTGGCATCGTGAAGCCCATGATAAGCGTTTTCCAGAATCCTATATCAACCTACAACTCCTTTGATTTATATTCTTTGTAGCAAATATAAGTCAATTCCGTAAGCCCTGTAATCAAATAAAAATGTGTTCCCTCCTTTAACCCTTAAGGATATGTTCTTCTCTTGGTGTTCAGGGATTCCCCACACATCGAGACGAGAATAGAGCCCTTCATTTTTAGTTGCACAAACGCCATATGGCATGCATCTGGATCTCAGAAGATAACAATTTAAGATCTTCAAGACAGCTAAAGCATGCAAATAGAATAATGCACTTATTAATGGAGTTGCAGTGAGCTGCTCACCAGAGACAGAAACTCTAGTGAACAAACTTCTGTTTGACTCACTCTAGAAAAGTCTGTGAACTCTCACACTTCTGTTTATTACTGTTTAATGATTCTTTTGATGGAATGGGATATATATGAGGTCTTTTAACTTACTTTGGCAAAGAAGAAAACTTCTCAGCACTCGTATACCACGGATACTCTGTCTATACCCTGCGAAACCAGAAACAAAATATTTTCTTCCTGTTGAATTTCTAGATAGAAGTCATTTGTTACCATCATCTACAGTAAACCATCATATATTATTATGTACCATGTGTTGAAACTGTATTTAGATCAAGTGGCTTCATTTGTAAATGAAGACTCTTACAGTAATGTATAATAAATTAAGCTCTGAGGTAACATAGGACATTAAGGTGGCTTTTTCATTTTAAAAAGTGACGCTGTTCCAGATTTCTCCTCTTACAAGAGAAACTCCCGTCCAGTTAGGTGCCACCACAGCAGGAGGGCAAGTTGGCAGTCACACCAGAGGAAGAACTGAGAAACTTTCAGGCAAGAGGGAGATTGACTCAAGCTGGGGTTTAGGGACTCAGGCAGGTTTCTGAGAGGCAGATGAAGGCTGCTGCTGCCTATGCACACTGGGAGCCAATTTCAGTGTTTCTCAGTCCTAAACCTGCCACAAGTACTGCCGTCTTTATTTTAAAGATGTTGGCATGAAATAAACAGTTTTGGGAAAGAGCTGAGTACAGTACCTAGGCTGGCCAAGATACAGTCTGGTATGTCAAAATAATAATAAGAATAATGAAAAAAAAGCCGTATAAGCATTCAGGGTAAGGTGGACTTTTTTTTTTTCTCTCCCCCACAAGATCTGTCATTCTCGTGGATTTGGTTTCCAGGGCCAGTATTCCTGCATAATCAGTATCCCATAGCAGCATAGGATATAAGGAAAAAAAAAAATCTGTCCACTGTATTCCTGAAACAAACTGTGTGTATCTATAGAATAACAAATTGTTCTATAGATGGCCAAAGTTGCCGTCTATAGAATAATTTATCAAGTTGTTTTAAGGCTTTTATTGCAATCATCTGGTGCTGAATATGTAGATAATATACTCTAAATTATAGCTGTATAAGTACATTGAAACAATATCAAGACAGAGATTTGAATCTTTCTGAAGTATTGTTTTGATTCTGTATTGATTACCCGAGCGCTGACCTCTGTATGAGTAGAACATGTCCTAGCTTGTTTGCAATAGAAGTGTCTTTTTTTTTCTGTAAAATCTTCTGTCTCTTAACCGGTCTCCACTGTAGTAATGGGATTTTCAATATCTATTTTCATCTTCTAGCTTTTATTAAGAATGAACCAGAGTTTAGGTTTCCTGTGTAATATTTGACTTTGGCTTATAAATGGATTGTAGCCAGCAGCACTTTCTCCTTGGTAAAGAGCAGTTTCCCGAAATACTTTTTACTGTCATTTTGATGAAAGGTTAATTCACAGAACTAACGGGACCACCGAAGCCACACTCAAGCTTTATTCTTTTCACCAGTTTGGGGTAATGCAGGATGTGGCCTTTGGTGTATGTATTCGTCAAGTGTGGTTCTTCAAAGGGACAGTGTAAAAGGGGCACCAGGAAAGTCTGTCAGAAGGCTGCCTCGCCAGCTTTCCCATCCAATCTGGTTGCATCTGAAATTGGTTTGGGAAATGGCCACTGTCACAGGACAGCCGGTAGCTAACCTAATTTCTCCTTACTCATTACCACCAGTAATAAATGTGAAGTGGGGCAAATTATTGCTTTAATCGTACCCATGCAAGTACACCAGAGACAGGAAGCTTGAGTGGCTGCGACCGACAGCGGCATTTAACCCCTGGGATCTCGTCTCTCTGCTGGGACAGGAAAAAGCTCAGGCTCAGCTCCACCCCTGTATCAGTAAGGATTTTTTGGGGTTTTTTTTAAATGCAAGGCAGGCAAATTTGGAGTCACTGAAACACTGCCTTTTTATATGCCTCCCTCCCAGAATAATACTGAGTTAGAAACATAAAAAAAGAAACCCAACTGCATAAACTGAGTTTTTGAAAACCTACTAAAGTATCACCATGTAACTTCTACACCCCAAGTGGAGGATGTGCACTGGAATTGCATTCACTGATTCGGTGTTCTTGATGTAAATCCCACTGTGTGAGTAGGTTGCAGGTAGCACGGCTAACAGCCCAAGGATGCTCTTCTCTCTGCAAAGAACAACTCTGCTGCGAGTGTTAGATTCTGAGCTGACCGTCCACGGAGACAGATAAACACCGCAGGGTAGGAAAAACAAAGCTTTACCTCCCACAAGCTGGTCTGCATTTCACACACTCGCCCTCTTCCCCTCCCAGCCCTTTGGAGAATCCGTGCGCCTTCCAGCTTCCCAGCTAAACCCGCTGAGGAGTTAATTCTCCAAGAGCCCTCTCTATTTTGCATGGAGGAGAGGAACTCGGCACTCAAGTGTTTCCCTCTCTCCTCCACACTCCTCTCCCCAGCTCAGACCCACTTCAGATATCCTTTAGACTTGCCTTCAGCAGCAGTGCTTTGGAAGCCCGAGTCCAACATCCCCATCCCCTGTGTAGCGCTGGTTGATCACCTGCATCCTTGCTGGTTGATACCTGCATCCTTGCCCTCGCTCAAAGCAGGGTCATTGCCTTTCTCTGGCCATGAATAGACCAGGGGCTCTCAAAACCACTTGTAAGTCTAAGGTGAGGAAAAGCAGGGGCTCTTCCCAGCCCCACGTAAGGTGGTCACACTCCCCTCCCAACCTGTAGCCTGCCCAGAGAGCCCAACTGCTCTCTGAGCCTGCAGAACCAGAGCCAACAGGGACCAGCACAAACCCTGTGCTGGGAAACCTCCTTGGGCCTGATAAGATTTGATAAGACAGTGGAAGGTCCTCTCCAGGGCCAGCTGGTGGCTCTCTGGTGCTCCGCTCTGGGAGGGAGAAGCTGCTGCAGCTCCTCAGCTCACCTCAGGAGAAAGCCCAGGAGCCTGACATTAGTAATTACTGAAAAAAAAAACCCACCCAAACTTGGAATTAATACATGTATAACTGTAGCTAGCAAAGATTTCTTATCCGTGGTCTCATTTATATATTAGGTTACCCTGCCTCCAAGCTGGTCATATGCAAAATGCATCCTGAAATTAGTATTTAGTTTTTTTGCCAGCCCAAAAGCCAGCACACAAGCTGCAACAAACAAATGGCAAATGGAGATTTTATCGAGGTAAATATTTTGTCAACTGAAAAAAACCAAAACCACAAACAGCGTGTCCTTGGAATTACTGTATTTTAATGTCTAAAAATGCACAGCAAAGCCTAAGCACCTGGGCCAAACTCATCTCACCTGCTGATGGGTGGAGTTAGACTAAAGTGAAGGTGGCTTGATACCTACATCATCCAAATGGCCCCTCAGTGCCTTGGGCTCGGAGGTCGGGTGAAGCTGAAGGTCCTTGTGCTGGCGGGGTCTGTGTGATGATGTGTGTGTTGTATCCATGTAGTACCGTGTCTGTCGGCTGGTAAGCTCTTTTCTGTTCATTGTAATCACTGCCACAAGCTCAGCAAGGATACCGCTGCTCTGAAAGCTGGGGTGTTTTTCAGTCTTCCTTTTTTCCTGATTTCCTTATAATTAGATTGCATAAGTATTTTGTTGTGATTTAAAAAAAAAAAAAAAAGTCTGGGGAAAGAACAAATGGAAGTGAACACACTGGCTAATCAGGTTTGTTTTATATGAAAAATGCACATTGACCTCACAGTGAATGAAATGAAAAACTAACTTCCTAAAAAAAAAAAAAAAAAAAAATCCAAACCAAAATGTTATGCCTTAGATGGAAGCAGCAAACCATTGCTCAGTTTCCTCTCATCCTAGCAAAATGACGAAGGGTACTATTGATGTCACAAAATTGACAAATTGAAAAAGAATTACCAAAACCCCCCGCGTCCCCCTTTCAAAAATATCGTAATTTTGAAAAGCAAAATTCACCATCTCAGTGCTGGGGAGTAAACTTCATAGTTATTTTAAGTTTTCTTTTAAGTTTTGTTTTTTCCATCTTTTTGCCATTATCTGCATTCCTTAGATTTCTTTTTTTCATATGTAAAATGAACTAGCAAACCCTTCCCCTCCTTGAACCCCTTTTCTTTTTTCCTTTTGTTTTTTTTTCTTTGGAAAGTACTTTAGAACCTCAGTAATGTTTTCACCATCGAATCATGAGAAACCCTTTTGTTATTTCTCTTCTTTAACACATAACATGTTCCTCCTTTGACCCTCATTTTTCCCTTTTTTTCTCTCTCTTCCCCCCCTCTCCCTCCTCCCTCTCGTCTGTCCCCCCTTTCGCCCACCGATCTAATCCTGCCCTTTCGTGGTTGCTCTCCCGCCCTTCTTCCCTCCATCCCGTTCCTCCTCCTCCTCCTCCCTCCTCCTTCCTCCACTCCCCACCGCCCTGGCTGGACCCTCCCAACCTGTTTGTTCCTCTTCCTCTCTTCGTTTGCAGCTTAGAGATGGCTAAAGTCAGCACCCAGACCGCTTCCGTCACGACCCCTGTTGACCTCAACATGAACCTCTCTCAGTCTGCCACCCCTACCTCCACCCCCACCTCCATGGCCGTCCTGGCGGCCGCCTCCGCCGTTGCCGTCAGTTCCCCCCCTCCCCTACCAACTCTGCCAACCACCCACTATGCCGTTCCTGTCTCCAGTCTGCTTGGCATGAAAACTGTCCCACTCCTGGCACTAAATGCCACGGCCGCCGCGGGGGCCACGGGGAGTTTGTCCGCTTACACTGCCAAAATTCCTTCGACGAGCGGGGTTAAGAAATCTGACCGCCAGAAGTTTGCTCCATATTGAAGGGATGAGACACAATGCAAGCTTTGCCAGCTCTACCAAGAGTCTGTGGTAGATCCTAGTTGTCAAGGAAACAATACGGCATCTTTTTATTTTTCTGTTAAATTGCTAGTGTTAACTGTTGCCGACGCCAAGTCGTCTTCCGCTCTCCATAACGACTAACACCCGGGCACCACCTAACGACTAGTTCCAACTGCGGGCGGGTGACAGCCTGGGGGGCTTTCCCCACCAGCCTTAGGAGCTTTGCCCACCAACCTGGGGGCTTGTCCCACCAGATGAGGAGCTTTTCCCACCAGCCCAGAGGTTCTCCTCCCATCCCGATGCCATCCCTCCACCCGGGCCAGGGCTGGCCCTCCAGAAGCCCCACTGCACGGCAGGGTTGTCCCCAGTCCAGCCAGGAGATACCTGGAGAGAAATTAAAAATAGAAATGAGGCAGAAGTTTTGGCAGCCTGGTCCTGCTCTAGCAGTAGCGCCTGGCGTAAAACCACCCTTTGAAGGGATCCCTCCAACTGTAGAACCATTTCCTATGGCAAATCGGCACTTCTGATGAATTTTTTTTTAACTGCTATAGATTTCTATTGCAAATCTGGCACTTCTGATGATTGGTAGCACCCCCGAAATCCCAAGTGAAGTGCTGTCAAATGATGGGGGGGGGGCATCATTTGACAGATCTGAAGGTTCCCATCTTCCCTGCCCCAACGCCTGCCTGTGAGCAGGAGACCGGGGCGAGAAGGTACCAAACCTCTGCTGCTGCCATGCACACACAAATGGAGCTTTCTGGGCTGAGAAAAACTGCTAAATTAAAATAGTCGGTAGATGACAAGAAAAAAAAAAAGAAATATCAGGCACCCGTGCCTTTTCACTTCATTCTTTTAAAGGGTGCAACCATTTTTCTCTGGTTTGGAAAAATGTGATTTTAAGAACTCTGCTGTTTGGAGGGAGAGCAGGCTCCTCCTTTCACACTCAGATGTTTTACTGGTATATAGCAACAAATATATAGTACTTACTCCTGTAAGTACTGAATAGTAGGTACAAATCAGACGGGCACTATTGTGGTACCCCCTCCCGCACCAAAACCATTTTTTGTTACATTTCTGTACAAAATACATCCCTATTTAATGCGTCACTACTCATGCAATCTGGTTGTGTTGTAATGATGGATAAAATCTAGTGCTTATCAAAGGCCACTCAGAGGTTGCTGCCCAGACAGATAACATGCCTCTGACAAGAACTTGATGATGTTCAGATGATTAACTAAAACCAGACACCTGATGGCAGCCAAACTGAAGAGAGCTGGGGGATGTAGTGGCTGGTCGCTAGCTGTTGGAACTAGTTTTTAACTGCATTTTTCTGTTTGTCCATCCACCTCCTTTTTAATTTCTGTTGCATAACTCAGTAATGCGATATTTCCTCACCTCTTCCGAATCCAGAATCCCATTAGCCCACCATGTCCATCCACTTTGCACTCCTTGGACACAAAGCTTTAACAATTGAACTGTATTCAGTGCATTTTAATATAAACTAAAAACACAATGCAAATGCAATACTTTTTAAAACATGGTATTTCAAAGTGTGTTATTATTATTGTATAGGGCTAAGAACTATCTCAGTATTTTGTGTCATTTCTGTATTCTGTGGGCTTCTCTTCACCTTAGTACCTTTGCACTAAGTTTTGTCGCTGTAACCATTTGTAGAACTGCCATTGTTACAGTTTGCACTTACCCAAATGGGGGTTTTGATTGGTTTTGTTGTTTGGTTTTTTTATTTTGGTGTTTTGGGCTTTTTTTTTTTTTTTTTTTTTTGTTTTTTTTAAAAATAAACTCTCACAGCTGGCAACTTATTTGGCTTTCTCATGTTTCCCCCCATAGTACAAGCATTGTTTTGCCCTTCCTCGCAGGCCACTCTGTTTCTCATTAGTCTGTGTTTGTCTCTTGTTTTGTGCATGGCAACTAAGTTCCATTACTATTACACCTTCAGTTTTCGTCATTGCCTCTTTTCTGCTTCACTACTGCATGAGACACCATTAGGGTTTTTTGGGGTTTTTTTTTTTTTTTTTTTTTTTGGTTTGTATATAACAAAGGAAAAACTGGAAACAATGTCAAGGAGGTACCTCAGCTATTTAACAGCTCTAGAAAATTGCTGTAAAATTGTTCTGGACTATTGTAACTGTTTCAATAACGGAAATTTTAAAAACAAAAAAAACAAAAACAAAAACCACCAACCTCTGTGTGAGAAAACTTGCCTGCATTGAAATACTGTTCTGTGCTGGTTGTACTCAAGTGTTAATTTTTAATAGTGAGAAGATTTTTTTTTTCTTTTTTTTGCCTTTTTTTTTTTTTTTTCCCCTTTTATTTTCCTCATTTTTGTTCCTACATTTTAGGCTGTCTTCAGAAGTTACTGGCCTGGGGGCTCTGTAATGTATCTCATCATGCCCTAGTGCATTAGCCACCAGACAGGACTTTTCCAAAGCCCCATGAGACAATGCTTTCTATGGACTAATCTACAGAGGAGTTTCTGCCATTTCTAACTTTCTTATTATTCTGAGACATCAAAAGAAAATACTTCCTTTACTCTTTAAGCAACTGTGCTTCCTAACTCTTGTGTTGCTTTCATTACTGTTCCAGTTTTAACACTGTTGTGGCTCATAACATAACGCAAAGAAAAGTTATTTTTGGGGGTTAATTTTCATTGATGTTCATGCTTTGGCTAATCTGTATAAAAGCATGGGCCGTTAGTGTTCTAAACCACTGTATTCAGCTAGAGACTCGACAGTAAATTAAATGAGACGTTTTTATAAATAAATTTTTTTCCTGATATAAAAAACAAACAAAAAAAAGACGTGGTAGCTTTGTGCATACAACTGTTGTGTTGTTTAAACTTTGTTCTTTGTAACCGAGTTGCTAATTTGTCATTTGAGAAACATTATTTTATGGATTGTCAAACTAAGGTCATAGACAAATTGCTTGTTTTCATTAATGATTAAAGGTTTCATATCATCACGCTTAAGGTCCCAGTGCTCATTGGGAAAGAGTGCAACAACCGTGCTGTACTGGCAGCTAGAAAGTACCTTAGCTCATTGTCAGGGATAATGTGTCTTTTCATGATCAGCTGGAGCCGGATTGTGTAATTAGTAGAGTAAGCAGTATTTCTGCAAAACCTTATTTGGTTTTTAACAATGTTGCTCTTGGAGAACTTCTCACACTGCATAGAAAAGGCAGAATTTGGCTTCTTGCTGCAAGAAGCTTCTGGATTCTATCTCTCGTGGTTTTGGATACTGATTTTTTAAGATCAGATACTGGGGAGAGAAAAACAACACAAGAACAAACTTGGGTACTGAGTATATTATTGCTAAGACCCTTGATATTTTCCCATTCCCAGTGGCACTGTTCAGTGACCAGGCTTCTAGACAGCACCTGTCACCCTGCTGGGAAAGTAGCCCAGCAGCTGGGAGGAGCGTGAGCAGGTCCATTAAAAAAGGGAGAATGGAGAGTTGGCCCAGGGAAGTGTCTCATCCTGCTCTGCCTGCTTGAGCCATTCAGCTCCTTTGGATCTGCCAAAGCACTGCAGCCACAGCCTCCAGTCCTCTCCTCACACCCAGAGTGTGAAAGGAAGGGGCTGGCCTGGAGCTGTTGCTGCAATCAGTGCTTCTGGCTGTGTCTCCTCTTAGGGCACTGGCAATACCTTCACAGTTACTGCTTTATCCTCATGAGAAAGCAGAGGTTTTGGCAGTGCAAGGGAGTAGCATCCTTGATGATGTGAGACTAATTCTACAGCCTCCATCCCTACTCTATTAAGGTCTATGCTTGTCACTGGGTATGTAGCTTGGGGTCCCAGGTCCCCAGCTGAGTACTTGTGGGGGGTACTGCTGTTATTTTCCATGGACTGTAGGGCACAGAGAGCTACCACGTGTCTGGGTCTTGAATCTGAGCCTGGAACAGTGCTATGACCAAGATGGAAACCTGTAGCAGTCAGCAGCTTTTTCAGTACAGATGCAGCCACAGAGTGACTCTTGACAATAGAGGCTGCCAAGGAAGATGACAGAATGCCTCACTGCGTCCCAGCACCCAGTGGTGAATTAGCTATTGCAACCCTTAGGCTGGAAGAACTATAGGCTGTAATACTAACCTTGATAAAATTCTGTGCTTTTATCACTTAAAATTTATTTATAGTACTTAAAATACATTTAACTGCTTAGTCTTGAAAGGAGAGCTGAAGCTTATTTCACAGCAGAGACCTCCATACTCTTCATTTCCTAACTGCGTACTCTTCATTTCCTCAACAGCAAAAGCTATTTCTCTGGCTAGCCTGGACAGTGGAAATTAAAACACAAAAAAAAGAGAACATTATTGCAGCTCAGCACTAAGTAGGTCAAGGCTTTGCTCTCCCAGTAAAGCTTCCAGGCAAAGGGCAGCAGCTGCTCTGTCGTATATAGCATCTTCAGCAGAAATAATTCCCATGTGCTTTGCAGAACTGGCTAGAAAAGACTGAGATTTAAACAAACTAGTGCAGGGGCATGTTTGTGTGTGGAATGAGAAGAGCTAAAATATAGACCCATGGACAAAGGAAGGAAAAAGAAAGTCTTTTGAGAGAGCTTTTGCAAAAATACAGGTAGAAGTGTAGTAAAATCTAGGCTAAATGAGGACTCACTTTAATTATTTTGGTTAGAAAGTACTTCTGAACGGCAAGAAAAAGTTCCTGGATAGCTTTAACATGCAAAACAGGCAACCAAAACACAAGAAGGTACATCTGGGGGGGGGGAAGTAAAAAATAATGTTATCCAAGATTGCAAATTTGTCTCTCCTCAAACTGAATTTATTGGTAAGGGGGCTGACCAAAGCTAATGATGTTAACGATCTTTTTAACCAGTATTTGTGATTCTGAAGCAAATTTTAAAATGACATGCTTTAGTGGAGGAATGACAATCATATTAGGAAATGACAACATGGTTTTTGGTGTTGGTGTTGGTTTGGTTGGTTTTGCGTAATCACTTTTGGGCTCCTCTGTATCAAAGACAGCCCTTTTTTTTTTTACACATCTCTTTCTGAGTCATGACACAGCAGCTTATTTCTTCCATGGCGGGAGAGAAATTAGCATGCAGATTAACATTTGTGATTAATTGCATGTGCCAGACCATTTCAAACACACACACAGATACACATTTTGGCCCTGGAAATAACTCACGAGTTTCAAAACCACTGAGCTGGGGAATCACAACTATTTTTAGTAGCACAGAATTCCACAGGTCTCACATTTGGGCAATACTCTTCATTACTGTATCAGTAAATAAGGATGTCAGATGCTAAGTCTTCCCCCTTAATTCTGATTCTTCAGTTTTCTGGTAGCTCAGAGAATTAAAATTGTCTTCTCCATTCCACTGTGCTAGAGGTCACAACTTGACTAGGCTATGGACTTGATATTATGACAACTTTCATCCTCATAGTTTAAAAAAAATAGAATTCAAGACAGTTAAGAAGTTAGAAATTAAGGAAGTGTGTATTTAAAACACAATTATTTGCTCTTGTTAATCACCTAGCTGAACTGCTCTTCAGAAGTTTGTAAAATTATTTTCTAAAACTGAGGACAGACTTAAAATATAAATGTTTTTCTAAGACACAGGAGATCATTACCTTGATGCTTGACTATTCAGTGAGGTTGGGATAATTCCCTTCTCCCTTGCAGCCACGCTACTTTGCTAAAAAGCAGGATGTTTTCTTGCTTTCTTGAGACAAGAGCACGTGCACACCCACAGTCACGTAGGACACAGCTAGCAATGTCACTCCTGGCCTCTGCAGAAAGCTCTTGGAAAGCTTTACTTCAAACGGTGAAGAAACGTGTAAAGTCGTAGACAACAGGCTGTATAAAACCCTATTTGTGGATCAATGAGATTTCTGCAAGGAAAAAAGCACCTTAAACAAGCACGAAGTAAGAGGGACCGATGCTGTGGGTTACTTCCCCAGCAGCACAGACACCCCCAGGCTGGTCCATCGCTTTTACTCTTTCAACAGAAGTTAAGGGATAGTGGATAGAGCGACGAGTGAACTGGTGGTTATTCTTATCATCTATTGGTAAAAATAATTGAAACAATGGACTGCACTGGCTTGGATTTGAACGTACAAACTCCCTCCGCTGAAACTAAACTTACAGAATGAAAAATTACTTCTTAAACAGCAGAGAAAATTCTTTTGCAATACAACAGCCAATTCTAGAGAATGAAAACTATGTCAAGCTTCTTACCGCTAGGTATCTCTGAAGAGGAGGGCAACTAAACAGCTGAATTGTTTTACTGCTCAGTTTAGCTCCTTTCCTATTCATCTGCAGGTGAAACTGTGATTTGCAGATTCATGTACAAAATCAAAGTTAACATACACTTCCATTTTGTCCATATATCTATAAATTCTAAACTCAGAGATTAACGATTTTATACTGACGTTCAGTGTGACCTGACTCAGGTCCCATCTGTTTCTCTGACGTTAAGGCAAACGCAGAGAGTGGCTCTGAAGCTCAGTGTTCCCAAGCTGCTCTAGTGTGCTTTGGTGAGTCACCTCCGTGAAAAGGAAACATAAGCAGAACAATTAGAAACGTAGCTCTTATAGAGTAACACTGGGGAAGTGTTTTGTTTTATTTTGAAACAAAACTGTCCATCTGTTAATACTGTCTCACCCTGTCAGCTGAACATCCTCTTTACAGTGAAAAATGGAACTAGAGATCTTTCACTGCAGCGCGACAGGCACCATATACATTGACCTTCAAATGTTTCACACTATAGAAGGAAAT